TTGGGGAGCTGGGACTGGTCCGAGCTGCTGGGGGAAGAGACATAGAGATCACTCCTCCCTCCACTCATGGAGGTCTCAGGTCGCGGCCAGGACAATCTTCAGTTCCCCGGGGGGTGGAAGGGGAGCTGCTGGGAGGGATGAGATTGAACTGGTTGGAGGGGAAAGAGAAGAGAGCAGGAGCATTAGAACCCAAGCAGCTGTCCCTTCATCCAATGCCGTCCAGTGTGGGGTGTGGGGGGAGTGGGTAGGAGCGGCCTCCTCAAGGTGTCTCATGGGGCTGTCAGAAGCACAAATCAAACACTGTTTCCCAGTGAGCCAGAGCCCTTCCTCGTGTGCCCAGCTCAGCCCCCCACACCCCAGCCTGGCCCTGTCTGCTGCGCTGCCCTTACCTCGGCTAAGTCAGGAGACAGTCGGGGTCACTGAGAGCTGGGGAGGCAGTGGGGAGGGGGGCTGCTGGATCACAACTGAGCGAGGACGGAGGGAAGCAAAGGACAGAGCCAGGAGCAAGCCCCTGGCGGCGGCGACTGTGGCTTCTGCCCACCCTACATACTTCACAGACAGGTGCAGGTCGGCAGGCGCCCTGTGGGACAGCCCTGCCTCCAAGACCCCTCACTCCCCACCCAGAACCCGTGCATCCTGCCCCACCTGCAGCCCATCAGCTCTTCCATGCCAAATTCCCCCAGCTAACGAGAACTCACGAATCCTGTCATCGGCTCCTCCTGGAAATCCAGGCGCCTGGCCAGGCTGCTCACCTTGGGGGTGTCCGATGTAGGGGTAGGGTGAGGGTGTGGAAGCTGAGAGTGCAGGCACCCCACTCTGGGGCACTGCGCCTTGGGGGGGTCCCCCATGGCTCTGGGGTGGGTGCAGCAGCATCACCTGGGGCGGGTGGGGAGCCCCAGGGTGAGGGGGCGGGGCTGCTGTGATTCCAGTTTGGACATGGGCCTGCAGAAAACAGAGAGTGGTTAGCACCCCAGAAGCCTGACAAAGGCGCCGAGAATCCTAGTGTCAGGACCATGACGTGGAGGCAGCACGGCACCAGGGACTCAGGAGTTGGACAGTCTCGTGGCCCAGGTCCTCATGGCAAAACAGACCCAGACAAAGCAGGTTCCTGGAGTTCTTACCTGGGTAACATGGGCCATGTTGGTGAAGCCGTGGGGCAGCTGCTGGTGGGCATGGATGGCATACACAGCAGCTGGTTGGGGGAAGCTGCTCTGAGGGGACTGGGCAGAAGGTCCCGGTGGCAGAGAAGGAGGCGTGCCTGTCAGGGCCCCTGGGTGGTACAGATTCTGCTGTGGCTGTCCACTGCCCAGGTGTGGGGCCTGCCCTGCCTGGTGCTGTAGGTGAAGGGGAAGGTTAAGCGCCACTCACTGCTCTGATACCCAGGCCTTCTAACCCTAATCCACCCTGCTGGGGAAATACCCCAAACTCTACTGCTCTCCCTCAGCCACCCACTCCTGCCCCGACCACTCAGCTCCCCCAAGGCAAGCACCTGGACAGGACTGGGGGCCGCATGCTGGGACTGGGGCTGGCTCCCCGTAGGCGTGGTGGCCGGCTGCGGCTGGTGGGCATGGAGCTGCGTGGCATGGTGTGGATAGGACTGGTGAACAGTGGCTACAGATGGAAGGAGAGAGATAATCAGTGCTGAGTACATGGAGGGGACTGAGGAGCACAGCCTGGAGGGAGGGTCCAGCAGAACTCACCATAAAGGGCTTGGGGGGTGGGCTGCTCTGCTGAAGGGTACTGGGGGGTGGAGGACGACACAATGGCCTGGGGATGGCTCCCCGATGTCAGCATGCGTGGGTTGCTTTGAAGCATGGGGGCAAACACCGGCTGGAGTGGCAGAGAGAAATGGTCAGCACAGGACTTGGAAGGCATAACCTCTGCACAGCAATGCTCTGGCCTTGTCACAACTACCTTGTTGGACATTCACAAATAACCTAACTACATAGATGCTATTTTACTGACACTTTAGTCAAGGCTTGGGTGATGGCTGGTTTTTAATTTTTATTTCATTTGTCTGGGGCTTGGGTCTTTAGGTGCCTTGCAACACTGAATCCCCAGCCTGGCACCACCACCCAGAACACTGCCTGCCTCTCTCACCAGCTCCTCTGTGTCTGGGAGGGGGAGATGGGAGCCTAGCAAGGCCCCTGTACCCCATGTCCCTCCCGTGCTTCAGTCACCTGTGAGGGGTAGTGGGCCATGGGCTGCATCATGGCGGGCTGGCCCGGGAACTGCTGTGGGTTGTAGGGTATGTAGGAAGAATAAGGGGTGGCAGCCACCAGAGGTGGGCCAGCAGCAGCGGCAGCCTGCATCATCGGAGGGGCTGAGGCAGGCTGGTGTTGGTCCGAGCGCTGGGGAGGCAGGGAGCCTGGGGGCAGAGGAAAAACAGTGCAGAGCTCAAGCTCCATCTGCCAGGAGGCACCGGGCAGCCCTGACTGCCCCTCCCAACCCTGCTCACCTTTTGCTCCCCGGTACTTGCCCTGCTGTCCAGGCACTGAGTTGGATACAGGATATGGATACATCTGAGGTGCCTAGGGACAGGAATGCAGAGAAGGCTGAGTGACTTGCATACAAATGCCCAGAACAGGTCTGACCTGGTCCCTCAGCCAGCCCAACCAAACCTCTTACCCTGGGCCCACGGAGCCCCTTCTCTTACCTGAACAGCTGGTCCCATGTGGATCTGAGGTATGTAGGAAATGTACTGGGGGCTATACAGCCCACTCTGGCCTGCTGTAAGCACCGGGATGGAGGGAGTCGAATGAGTCCGGGGCCCCGGAGAAGTTGGGGTACTGGTGGATTTATTCTGTAAGAGACAAGGGAGGATGTGTTTAACGTATCTTACGATTTTTCTATTACCCATAACAACCCCCTTGCCTATACAGCAACAGCATTTAGAGGGAGTATTGTGCCCCAAACACATTCTACACTCTATTTTGGTTAAGCCTCATGTCAACCCTATGAGGTGGACACACTCGAGTTGTAGCTGATAGTACTGAGGCAGAGGTAGGTTAAGTGGCTTGTCCAAGATCACAAAGCTTATAAATAAGTACAGGGGGTTAAGCCAAGTCAGTGAGTCTAAATCAGCCATGGGCAAACTACGGCCCGCAGGCCGGCTGGATCCGGCCCGTTTGAAATGAATAAAACTAAAAAAAAAAAAAAAGACCGTACCCTTTTATGTAATGATGTTTACTTTGAATTTATATTAGTTCACACAAACACTCCATCCATGCCTTTGTTCCGGCCCTCCGGTCCAGTTTAAGAACCCATTGTGGCCCTCGAGTCAAAAAGTTTGCCCACCCCTGGTCTAAATGAAGCTCATGCTCTTAACTACCACACTCAGACACTCCCTGAGCCAAATGCTAAGTACCAGAGAGAAACCCATCAATACTTGTCGGACATACCACAATCCTTTGCCACCCAGCCCTGAACTCGGTCTGTTTTCCCCAAACCAGCCTACACGCTTTCACCCGTCTTCTCTCTGCCTAGTGGCAAGCACTCCCCCCTCCAGCGATTCTACCCCGTTCCCAGCCTCCTTTATGGAAGGTGCTCCCTCTCTCACCACAGACAGCAGAGGCTTTGCAGGATTGAACTCCTTGGCATTAGGATTCAATGTGGACTTCTTCACTTGTCTGTGAGAGAAGAACAAAGTAAGTCCGCGTGGCTTGCCCCTCATCACCCCGACACCCACCCACCTCCCCACCCAACTCACTCGGCAACAGGGCCCTCATCCTTGTCATCTCCCTTGATGAGGCCCACTGGGGGGCTGCCAGTTTGGCTTGGGCAAGGTGGTGGGAGCTGATCTGGCCCCTCCGTGCCTCCTGCTGGTGGCAGGGGCGGTTTGTCCTCCTTATCCAGTAAGGACTCGGTCTTGGAGATCGGGGACCCCATGGGCTCTGAAGTCAATAGACCATCAACTTCCTTCTCCTTCCCTTTGGCCTCCTCCTTTAAGATCCGAGGAGGAAAAGGATCCAGGCAGGTCTCCGGAGAGCTACTGGGCTGCAGCTGGAAGGAGAAATCACACATCAGCACTGGTCCAGACCCAAGGCCTCGCTTCCTTCGTCACCCTGCTCTCATCTCTTCTGCCCCAGCCAGTCCTGTGCCTCTGTAAGCTGCCCAGACCCACTTCACCTTCACCCCGTGAGCATCCTAGAGCTCATTCCCACACTTTCTCACCTTAAACTGGGCCCCAAACTTTCTCAGTTCTTCCAGCTGAAAGCGTTTCTGTTCATTCTGAAGGCCAGGGACTATGAGAAACAGTTAAGAGAGAAAATATACATTTCTTTGTTCAAAGGTGGCTACACAGTGCCAGGAGCCCACAGTACAAAAATCTAAAAAACAGAAGAAGAACCCAAGGCCTAATAGACTGTTTTCGTTTTGTTTTGAATAGACATTGTTTTTGAATTCCAACAACTTTCTAACCGAAATGCTCTCCTAATCAAAGGGGCATTATACTTTGGCAGAAAAAAAACCAATCCTTACTTTTCCCAGATATCCGGGACAGCTCCTGGGATTCCAGAGTTCTTCCAGGGTCCTTGGCCACGAGTTCTTTTACTGAGCAAGAGACAGACAGATGGACACCTGAAGGTCTTCTTTCCCAGAACCACACTTCACATGGTCCACAGCCCTGAACCATCTGGCTCTTACCATCCGTGGGGGCCAGTGAGATCTTTGGAGAAGCTGGGGAAATGGAACCTACTCCAGGATCCACAACTGATGACGTCACAGGGATGGAAGCTGAAGAGGTTGGTACTGCCGAGCCAATGGGAGGCTCAGGACAGGAGGCTGAGGCTGGGGCAGGGGCAGCCGACTTGGGAGAGCGTGGGGGGTACATCCGTCCCACTGGAAGAAAAGGGAAAGCTGCACAATGGTTACTGCTGGCCAATTATCAATGGGTACAAAGGACTTACTAAAAACACCAAGAAAAGTTTATCCACTTTTTTATATACAAGTTCACAAACCTAAATGCCTAGAAGGGCAAAGCAGGTAAAATGGCCTCATGGGCACCACGAAAGACTCAAAAAGGGCAGCCATGACTCAGTCCCAGACAACTGAAGCTATGCAGCGAGAGAGGTCAGTGTTGCCTTAGCCGTCTGGCTCAGTGGACAGAGCATCGGCCTGCAGACCTAAGGGTCCCAGGTTCAATACTGGTCAAGGGCACATACCTTGGTTGCAAACTCAATCCCCAGCCCAGTCAGGGTGTGTGTGGGAGGCAACCAATTGTGTCTCTCTCACATTGATGTTTCTCTTTGGTTCTCTTCCCCTCCCTTCCACTCTCTCTAAAAATCAAAGGAAAACTATCCTTGGGTGAGGATTAACAACAACAAAAAACAAGTCAGTGTTGGCAGAACTTCCTGTATTTCAATAAAATTAGAAATTGTCTGATTTCTCCTATTTTAAAGTGCTGGCAACTAATTTAAACAAAGTTATCTGCCAGCCAGACACACCCACAAATCCAGACACACCCACAAACCACTATATTGGGGTTTCTGCATGAGGGAAACTGAAAAATTCTTTGCTAAAAAGCATAAACCCAAACCTTTCAAAATACTTTTTACATCTTGAAACTGTCTCCCAGCCCAGTGTTCCAACAACCGACATTTATATTTCTACAACTTCCTGTGACATGCTGAACTTTACCTGCAGGAGGCGGCGGAACAGAAGCTTCTCCAGGCCTACTGCTAGGTGAAGACAGTGTCTTGGCACCTCTCACAGGCCGCTGTGCCTTAGGGGACATGCGGGAAGGGCCTATTTTTTTTTAAAGGTGGGAAAAAAAGAGGGAGAGTACCTGCTAGTACATTACCACAAATCCATCCTCCTTCCAACCCATTCCTTTCAATTATCCTTCCCTGTCCCCCACAAGTCTGCTTCACAACTCACCTCCATTAATACCACGTGTCTCAGAACCTGGGCCAGGGCTGCTATTGTCAAGGTGGTGAGGGCCACGGGGTGGCAAAGAGCTAAGGCCAGGTCGGCCGCCCCGAGAACTACTGCATCGAACTCCTCCCCGGGGACCTTCCCGAACTCGTTGGGGTAGAGGGATATACTTTCCTTCCCTGGGGGTGGAGGGAAGAGTTCAAATGAGGTCAAGTAGCCACAAAATCCACACATTTTGGAAAGATGAAGCCCTTCCTTTTAAAGTCCACCTTCCACCCAAGACACACACACACACACACACACACACACACACACACACACACACACACACACTCTCTCTCTCTCTCTCTCTCTCTCTCTCTCTCTCTCTCTCTCTCCCTGGCTCCAGCTTTTTGCACTATCCCGCTTGAAGATCTGTCCTAGTTAAATGTTCTGTGGCAACAGGCTCATGACCTTACATTTTGTCAACCCTAACCCGACCAACCAGGCTAATATCCCATAATTCTACCACCCCTGTTTGATTCTATTTTCACAAAGGGAGTAATAAGAGATGCATACAGATCAGCAGTTCTCAACCTGTGGGTCGCGACCCTGAAAAATACATCCTGCATATCAGATATTTACATTATGATTCGTAACAGTAGCAAAATTACAGTTATTAAAAGTAGCAACGAAAATAATTTTATGGTTGGGGGTCACCACAACATGAGGAACTGTATTAAAGGGTCGCGGCATTAGGAAGGTTGAGAACCACTGAATAGATGAATATGCAGAGAAAAAAGAGAAAGAATATATATCAAAATTCTGAATCTTTTTTTCTAACTTTAGTCTTGTTACTATGGGTAAAGCACTTAACCACTCTAGATTTCAACCTCCTAAAATAGTAATTGGGAATAACTATTTATTAACCTACATCTCATATGGCTGTGAGGCTCAAACAAGAGTGTACAAAACTCTTGGCTCATTCAGTGAGCCCCAAACATACCAGGCTGCCCCCAGGACTTACCTAGACACCAAACTGGGGCTCTCCCGTCCTGAACCCTGCCGCTGGACTGCACTGTGCTTCTCCTCTTCAGTTCGTCCATCATCGTTCTCCATGGCAATCCGCAGGCGGTACTGGGGGCTGGATTCAATCTCCCGAGCCAACTGGGCTGCACGCAGCTCCCGCTGACGAAACTCTTCTGAGTTGTCCTTCTCTAAGGGCACCCTGAGAAGACCACCAGAGACCACCACCATCCCAGTGCCAGGGGACAAAAGGGAACAAAAAGAAAAACATTTCTATCAGTCCTATCACAACCCAGCATTATTTAATGGACATCTACTAAAGTGTCCCAGGCAGAGCAGCAAGGCAGCTCTGATTCTGGGGGGACACTTAAAACACATGTTTAAGTACATTTTAAGTTCTAGAGGAAAAGTATGGACAAATGGGCAAGCAATTAATTTTACCTGTGAGGTGGCCTGGAATCAAGATTAAAAGCATATTTTTGAAAGCAGTTCACAAGGCATAACAGGAGTGGAGAGAGGGCAATCTGAACACCCAGAAAAGCATGAAAAAAGCCATGTTCCACCTAAAGACCTGCCCCTCTGTTGGTGACCCCATGCCTCAAACTGCACCACATGTGGAGTACCAAGACACTCACGTGTAAGATGAGAGACTGCTATCATAGGTGGTCTTTACACCATAGTTCTCCTCATTGAACTTGAACATTTCATTGGGGTCCCATCCATTGGACTAGGAGGAAGGAGGGAGAATGTTTTAACACCCAGCGAGGAAAGCAACAATAACCTATCATTTTCTGTCAGACTGAAAAATTGAAAAATCTGACCATACCAAAAACTGGAACACCACTGGTGAGAATATCAACTAGAACTATCAACTGCACAAACTGGCAGTAACTAGTAAAACTGAAGTCATATAACCTAAGAACTCCATTTTCAGGTTTATATCACAGGGAAATTTTGGTATATGTGTATGTTCTAAAAATTCAATAAGGCAACTATGACAAAAAAAGC